GGCCAGGCTCCTAATCTTACTTCTTGTAGCTGTCCCGGTTCTTAAAAAATTGGTGGCTGCAAAATGAGATGCGTAGGGGAAGGCATCCGGATGGCTGTGTTGTTGGAAAGTGACAACCTGTCTCTCCTGGTGGGTCTAGGACTCCACTGGGAGTCCTAGTTACTCCCGTGCTGTAACCTGTGAGCAAGTAACAAAGGGATGTCATTTAGATCCATATGGGGATGACTAGATGCCATATACGAGGGATCTTCAAAAAGTTCGTGGAAAATGTGTATAATGAAAAGACCATACATACATTTCAAAAATATTTTCTTATCCACATGCGCTTGTCTTTTAATTCTGTTTTACCATGAACTTTTTATGCTTGTATAATGCTGCTTACCTATAGAGGACTACTTCTGTTCTCAGGTGTTTTTTGAATAGATTGCATTTCTTTCTTTTTTTAAAAGATTTTATTTTTTATCTGAAAGTCAGAGTTACACAGAGAGGAGAGACAGAGAGAGAGAGAGAGAGAGGAGAGGAGAGGCTGAGAGAGGTCTTCCATCTGCTGGTTCACTCCCCAATTGGCTGTAATGGCTGGAGCTGTGCTGATCCAAAGCCAAGAGCCAGGAGCTTCCTCTGGGTCTCCCATGTGGGTGCAGGGGCCCAAGGACTCGGGCCATCTTCTACTGCTTTCCCAGGCCATAGCAGAGAGCTGGATTGGAAGTGGAGCAGCCGGGACTTGAACCGGCGTCCATATACGATGCCGATAAGGCAGGCGGTGGCTTTACGCACTATGCCACGGTGCTAGCCCCAGTTTCCATTTAATTCTCTTCATGTGTTAAAAATCCATAACTGGAAGCCTGGCATTGTGGCATAGTGGGTTAAGCCAATGCCTGCGACATCAGCATCCCAAATGGGCACTGGTTCTTGTCCCGGCTGCTTCATTTCCAATCCAGTTCTCTGCTAATGGCCTGGGAAAGCAGCAGAAGATGGCCCATGTGCTTGGGCCCCTGTACTCATGTGGACCATCCAGATGAAGTTGTTGGTTCCTGGCTTTGCCTGGCCCAGCCCTGGCCATTGAGGCTATTTGGGGAATGAACCAGTAGATGGAAGATAAGTCTGTCAGTCTCTCCCTCTAGTCTTTTCTTTTCTCTCTCTAACTCTGCCTTTCAAATAAATAAGATTAAAAAAAACATTCCACAGCTGGCTTTGCTTGTCAGTGATGTGATGCTACAGGGTTTCACTCCAAAATGCTACCATTCAGGTGGGGTTGTGCATCATGATGTCTTGATGTTGGGGTGACATTTCTTCCTGAAGTACTTAGCCTCATCTCTTAAGTATGCACCTGCTGCTCTGAGAATGAAGGTCAGGTTCTCAGATCTTAAAAGCATCTCCTTCAGTCAGACTTCTGGTTCTGAGCCTTTGTCAGGAGCCACACCCTGCCCTCTGTGTAGCGAGGGAGTGTTTGCCAGTGTCTGTTCCTCACGATCAGGAATGAGCTGCTGGGAAAACGTAATCATTCCAGGCCAGAGACGAGCTTACTCTGGAAGTTCCAGACAGCTCTAGGAAGGGAAATGGTATTTAGCAAGGATAAAATAGCATTAGCCCATCAACACATTTGATAGTGAAGCAAAGCTTGCTACAGCTTTATGTGCTCCTTGGTGGGGTTTATGATAGGTGCTTAAAGAAGAGCATTTTAGGGCAGAATGGAACCCAGACAGTTATGCATATTGAGACAAGTGGCACTAGTGTTAGAAATATAACACCTAGGGCTGTGATGAGCCTGAACACATGCCACAACAGAGTGACCTTGAGGTTCCCATGATATGCAGGAACCAACGTGTAAAAGACTGTGCTGAAATCCTTTGTCTTACTTTTGCAGATAAAACCATATTTAACATGGGGGAATTCTTTCAGGATAAGAGGGATGTTGATCAGTACAAATACTCATGATTTTCTTAGTTTTTATTTTTTGAGAGGCGGGGGGGGGGCGGGGAGAGAAGGAGAGAAAGCAATCTTACTGCTGGTTCACTCTCCGAATGCCCACAGCAGTCGGGGATGGACAGCCCAAAGTCAGGAGCCCAGAACTCATTCTGGGCCTACTACGTGCAAGGCAGGGATACAAGTACTTGAGCCACTCGCTACCTGTTGTCTCTCAGGATGCACATTGCCAGGAAGCTGGAATCAGGAGCAGAGATGAAACTCGGGCACTCGGATACAGGACGTGGGGGTCCTGACCAGCAGTGTAGCTGCTGGGGCAAATGCCCACCGACCCCTAATTCGTTAAGTGATACTTTATAACGACTATCATTGAGACATAGTTTGCATCCAGCAAAAGACATCCATTTAAAATGAATCGTTCGTTTAAAGGGCACAGCTAGCTGAGTTTAGACAGTGGTACACACCCATGCAGTCACTGCCCAAGTGAAGATACGGATGTTTCCAGGATCCCTGAACGCTTCCTTTGTTCCTTTGAAATTCTTCTCTCCCCAAGTCCCCGGCCTCAGGCAACCACTGTTCTGCCTTTCAGCACTTTGGACTTGGTTGACATTTGCTAGAACTTTTTGCCAACAGTATCATCCCATAGAGATGCCTGTGTCTGGCTTCTTTCATTCGGCTTAGTGGTTTTAAGATTCACCCACATAATTGCATAATTGCCACAACCCCTCACCACCTTTCCCTGTCTCTTTTTTGGCTAAGTATTATTCTATCTGTGATCTGTCACAGTTCGCTTGTCTATACCTGTTGATGAATGTTATTTTTCACTTTTCATGATTATAAATACTGCTGTGAACATTGACGTACAAGTGTTTGAGTAGACATCTGTTTTCACGTCTCTTGGGTGGGTACCTGTGAGTGGACTGGTTGGATCCTATGGAAGGCATAGTGCTTCTCGAGATGGCCCTGTGGTTTTTCTGAGTGCTTGTAACCATTTTGCATTCCTGCCAGCAGTGTTCAGGTCTTCTGGTTACTCTACATCTTCAGCATTAGGCAGTGTCTGTGTGGATCACATTTTCTTTTTTTTTCTTTTCTTTTTTTTTTTTTTTTTGGACAGGCAGTGTGGATAGTGAGAGAGAGAGAGAGAGAGAGAGAAAGGTCTTCCTTTTGCCGTTGGTTCACCCTCCAATGGCTGCCACGGCCGGCGCGCTGTGGCCAGCGCACTGTGCTGATCCGATGGCAGGAGCCAGGTGCTTCTCCTGGTCTCCCATGGGGTGCAGGGCCCAAGCACTTGGGCCATCCTCCACTGCACTCCCTGGCCACAGCAGAGAGCTGGCCTGGAAGAGGGGCAACCGGGACAGAATCCGGCGTCCTGACTGGGACTAGAACCTGGTGTGCCGGCACCGCAAGGTGGAGGATTAGCCTAGTGAGCCGTGGTGCTGGCTTGAATCACATTTTCTTAAGGTGTAACTTCATGCCAGTCAATGTGTATAAATATATAAAACTATGTATATTTCCAATAATTCTGTAGAAGTTTTGATTTTAGTGATGGAAGACGTGTTTGAGTCTCTTCTTTCCTGTTCTGTTCTGATGTTATATCAGACAGTTAGGAAAGAAAATTCCTATGTTTCAAGCCACCAGGGAACCCTTTAACCCATTATAGATGTGGTTAAAAAAAGACATCACTTTTAGTATCCTGCTATGAAAAATTTTATTTCTTAAATGTTTAAGTTATATCTGGGGGAATGGAGAAGAAAAAAACGTGATTAGAAGTTGGGTGTGGAGGAGGGGAGAGTAGGTTAGAAGGTGGTGATTAGGATCGTGTGTGGTCATATTGCTGACCGTAAACTTGAACTCCATGGACAGATTTCAAAGGCTGGCAGTCACACGGAGGCACACCCCCCTGGAAAGCCCCTAGGATGCTCTCCCTCAGGTTTCCATGCTTCATAGTTGTCTTGGACAAGCTAACAGGGTCTTCCATGAGACCAGGTTCAGGAGAAGTTGGTGGCAATTGTGACGAATTCTCTACTTTGCCTCAAGGCTTTCTTGCTGCCCATTCTTGCCTGTTCCAGGAAGTTATCAGCAACCGGAAGTAGAGCAAAGCAGAGAGGTCCTGGGTGGGTAAGAAGATATGCGTGGGCGTCCCTGAAGTACCATTTGGCTATAGCAAGTATACTGGGAAGGCTTGAGTTCAGTGTGGGCTCATGTTTAAGAGCAGGTGGAGTTAGGGTGTGAGATCTATGTGCAAAAGAGGAGGAGGAAAGAAAAGGAGAGGGACAGAAAAAAACAGAAGGAAAAATTTATGACGAAAGAAAAAAGCTTCTTAAAAATACAAAAATGAGGGATAGACATTCAGCCTAGTGGTTCAATTTTGGTTAAGACACCTGTGTCCCACATTGACGTGCTGAGGTTCAATTCCGGGCTCTGATCCCTGACTCCAGCTTCCTGCTGATGCGGACCCTGGGAGGCAGAGGCAATGGCTTAAGCAGCTGAGCTCCTGCCATCCTTACAGGGGAGTTCCATGAATTCCCAGTTCCTGGCTTTGATCCAGTCTAGTCTCGGCCATTGTGGGCATTTGGAGAGTGAGTCAGTGAATGGGAGCTCTTTGTCTCCCTCCCTCTGTTCCTTAAAAAAATAAAAAGGTGGCACACAACAATCTTTCTCAGCTTTATAGGAAAAATAGGAACCCCTCTCTCCCTCAGTATGCCATCGTGAAGATTGGCACAGGAGGGACCTGGGGGACCCGGATGCCTCAGCCCCATCTGCACATCCTTGCCGAGATCTCAGCACGTGTCGGTGAATGAGCCATGCCTGGCGTGAGCCCAGAGCCTGGCTCTGCTGCTTCCTGACCCCACCTGGTGTGGGCCGTGGTTCCCTTACCTGCCTGCAGCAGTGCTAGCATCCAGATCAAAGGGCAGCATGAGGATCCGAATGACAGCCAGCGTTTGAAGGGCTGTTCGCTCAGTGTTTTCACACTTTCTGGTTTTGAAACAACATCTGTGAGAGTTCAATTCTGATCAGTCTCTTAATTGTCATATGTCTTCCAGAGCATAATGAGAAAATAGGATTAAAAAAAAAAAAACTCTTCTGGGTGTCCAAGGTTGCCCTTGGAGGAGCAAGATCCTGGTTAACACACTCATTCCCTTCACTGGGTGACTCTCAGCATGTTTGACTTATCTGCGTTTTAGATTTTGTTACAGACTATGGCCTCAGCGAATTGCACCAACCTGCCCTTCCCTCTTGGAGACTCTGTAGTTTTTACGTAGTAAACCCTCTCATGACTTTGGTTACCAAGATGCCTGTTGTTTCCATGTCTACAAGTCCTGTTTTCCAAACTGGCTGTCCTCAGGCTGGCAAGAGTGAGCTGACTCAACTCCAGAAACATTCAAACTTCCTGCAAGATTAGATGGCTGGGAGCACTCCCACAGACCCTCGGCAGTGTTCTTTGTTAAGGTCAAGGTTTCTGCTTTCTCTACAAATAGGATGATTTTCGATAATTCTGCCTCTGAAACACAGCATCCATTGGCAGTTTTTCTACAGCTACTTACAGCTAACAGGCCCGTTTTCTTTCCTTTAATGCTCTGACCTCCGGCTGCGTTGCTGGTGATCCTAGTTTCCCGAAGTTTTACCTGTTCTAGATGAGCACCTGACTTTGAACTACCGTGGCCGTGCTTGCATTTGATGGTGAAGACTGAGAAAAGCAAGATGAACTCTGAAGCATTCTTGGAGGAAATCAGATCGGATAGTGTAACTCCAACGTAACTGGACTATTCTTGGTTATCTCACAGATACCCGTGTGGCCAGACGTCTCCATGTGCTGGTGAGATCATTTCTGGTCGTCTTTTAATCTGCTGGCTGCTGCCTTCTGCAAGCTGCTTGAGAAGTTTTTCCTTTCTCCCTGTGCCAAAGGCAGCCAGCAGTTTTGAAACTTTGCTCATTGGATTGTCATTTTCAACTTTCACGAGTCAAGTTCATTTTCTTTCCTTGCCTCCTTTCAGGCTTTATTTTGGGATAGGAGGTGGCTTTACTTTCCCCAGTGGTTACTAAGAAAGAATCTTCTCTGTTTATAGACTGCTAACAAATAGTGGCAGCAGAAAGACAAATATGGTGCTGTCCCGGGGGGAGCCTGGGAGACGGCCAGCAATCAGCAGCCCTGAAAGACAAAGGCTCGCAGTGAGGCCTTGGAGAGCAGTGGTTGGCGTTGTGGGTCCACGGATTGCTTGACATCTTGTTAAAAGGTGTTTTCCTTGTTCTTTCAGGGACAAATTTGTGTCCAGAAATCAGCCAGGGTTGTGTGACTTGATGGGACTGTCTTCTTTTGGATCTCAAAGATTTTGCTTAACAGGTATCAGAACTCAACATTTGTATCCATTTTCTTTAACTTTTGGGTCAGAGATTGGGGTGTCAGGAACCCATAAAAGGAAGCCAGGGGTGGGTCCATTCATTTTCACCTCCTTTCCCCTTTGTTTGGCTGGATTTTGTTCATTCTGATGTTTCTGACCTGGATTAGGATGGTGGGGGATTGGGCTGAAGTTCAGAAAGTCATTATGCTGCGAAAAGAGAGGAGGATGGTGGTAGTGTCTTTTTATTTAACATCCATGTGTAAGCAGGTACGATGGTTTGGATGTGCCTCCAAAGTTCATGTGTTGGAAAATTAAAGCCCCAGAGCGACGGTGTTGACAGACGGGACCCGCAGGAAGTGATGAGCAAGTGCTCTCCCCTCGTGGATGAATGAAGGCCTTGACTGCACGGAGGGGCTCCTGAGAAGAGGATGTTTGGCTCCTTTTCTCTCTCTTACGTGTGCATGTGCTCTCTTGCCCTTCTGCCTTCTGCCATGGGGCAGCACAGCAAGAAGACCCTCAGCAGATGAGAGCCCCTCAACTGTGGGCTGCCCAGCCTCAAAACGGTGAAATACTTGTCTGTGCCAGAAGGTTGTACTCTACCCCATAAAAATGACCAAATAAGGCAAACAATATTAATAAAGTAATTTAAAAATATTTTTAAAAAGAAACTTCTGCTTCGTATATTACCCAGTCTCAGGTAGTCTGTTACAGCAGCACATAACGGACCAAGACAGTGGCTATTTGGGTTCTTCATCTTACAAATACAGTGCATGCCTGGGACACAATAGAAGGCCCTGTAATGATGCTTATTAAGAAGGAGGCCTATGTGTGGGAGACCTGGAAGCATCTTCTTGATCCTGGATTTGGATCAGCTCAGCTCCAGCTGTTGCGGCCATTTGGGAAGTGAACCAGCGGATGGAAGACCTCTCTCCCCCCTCTCCCCCTCTCCCCCTCTCCCCCTTTCCCCTCTCTCCCCTCCTTCCCTCCCCCTGTCCCTCTCCTCCTCTCTTGTGACTCTGTATTAAAAATAAGTGAATCTTAAAACAAAAAAGAGGCCTCACAGAGTAGGATAAGCATCTCACAGCACCAGATGAGAGTAGCGATGGATGCTGGCTGTGTTGATGACACTGGATGACGTGTAGACAACAGCTGACAAGGTAGCAGGTACAATGCTAAGTGCTCTTGACAGATAAGTCAACTCATTCCTTACTCAGGACAGCATTAGCCGGTAGGTACGGGTTATTTTTTTAAAAATATTACTTTATTTGAGAGGTAGAGTTACAGACAGTGAGAGGGAGAGACAGAAAGAAAGGTCTCCTGTCCGCTGGTTCACTTCCCAAATGGCTGCAATGGCCGGAGCTGAGCTGATCCGAAGCCAGGAGCCAGGTGCTTCTTCCTAGTCTCCCATGTGGGTGCAGGGACCCAAGGATTTGGGCCATCTTCCACTGCTTTTCCAGGCCACAGCAGAGAGCTGAATTGGAAGAGAAACAGCTGGGACTAGAACTGGCACCCACATGGGATGCTGATGCCTCAGGTGGAGGATTAACCTACTGTGCCACGGTGTGGGCCCCTGGTAGGTACTGTCCATTATGCTGTTCTACAAAGACACTGTGGCATAATTAACTCATTCAAAACACATAGTAGATGGTGAAGCTGTGGCCTGAGTCCATGTTTGTGTCACAACTGTACTCATAAGCACTGCACTACAATGCCCTCATTAGGATCCCATGGTTCTCAGAGGCTGAAGATTTTTCTTTTTCTTTCTTTCTTTTTTTTTTTTTTCATTTTTAGCAGTAGCCCACTACATTTTTGGCTGACTTAATAGGGTAGAATGCCTTGATTGCTTTTCTGCTTTCCAAATAAGCCTTCTCTAAGCATTGATTTTGTGTGCAGAATCCTGGAAGGAATTTGCAGGAAACACATGGAACTTTGATGTGAAAAGAACACTGTAAGTTTTAATGTCAACTATCTTTTGTAAGTTTTTGAAAATTGTTTTTGAAAGGCAGAGTGCTGGGGACAGGGAGTAGAGAAGATCTTTCATCCACTGGTTTACTTGTCAAATGCACACAACAGCCAAAACTAAGCCAGACTTTAAAACTCCATCTGGGTCTCCCATATGGATGGCAGAGACCCAGCTATTTCAGCCGTTATCTGCTGTCTCCCAGCATGCACGTTAGTAGGAAGTTGGATCAGAAGTGGAGGCAGAGGACCAGTGCTGTGGTGTAGTGGGAAAACTGCTTCCTGCAGTGGGAGTATGCCATGTGGGTGCTGGTTTGGGACCTGGCTGATCCACTTCTGATCCAGCTCTCTGCTGTGGCCTGGGAAAGCAGTGGAAGTTGGCCCAAGTCCTTGGACTCCCGCACCCATTGGGGAGACACAGCAGAAGCTACTCACTTTGGATCAGCCCAGCTCTGGCTATTGCGGCCATTTGTACAGTGAATCACAGTATGGAAGATCTTCCCCTCTCTCTCTGTGTCTCTCTCTGTCTCTGTCTCTGTCTCTCTCTCTCTCTCTCTGTGTGTGTATAACTTTGCCTTTCAAATAAAATAAGTCTTTAAGAAAAATAAATAAAAGGCTTGCAGGGGGCTGGTGTTGTGGTACAGTGGGTAAGGCCACTGCTTATGACACCAGCATCTTATATCAGAGTACTAGTTTGAGTCCTGGCTACTCTGCTTCTAAAAAAAAAAATAGAGGAGGCGCAGGACTCAAACCCAGGTACTCAAATATGGGATGCACATGCACCAGTGGCAGCTTAAACTCTGGGCCACGATGTGAACTTTTTAAAAACACAGTGCACAGTACGAAATCTGAGCTTCCTAATTCAGCACCAGATTTCCTTTTCTAACACACAAATGTCTGGGTTGGTTGTTTAGTCTGGGTCCTAAAAGATTTCAGGAGCCACCCCTAGATAAATAGTAGCAGTCATTAGTGGAAATATTTGGGCTCCTATTGGTCAGATTTTAGTCTCATGGGAAAGCGGAGCTACACACAAGTCAGTAGAAAGCGATTCAGCAAGGTTTGTCATTACCTTCAAAATGCAACTGAGACCCTGCTGGCATGGCCCTGATTTGCCTTTTCGTTCTCTGACAAGTGGTTTTGCAAACATGATTTTCTCTGTAATTATTTCCTGCCCTTCTTCCCCTAGAAACTTGTAGTGTAAATTTTCCCTTACGCCAACTCAGATGAACTAACAGTAGTTTACACATTTATTCAAAAGACAACTAGAAGAGAAAAGTTCTGGGAATGGCATAAACTTCCATGGGCAGGAGACTACTCAACACTGACACTGTGTGAAGACTTACTTTCCATTTTATAAATCACTTCTGCCTTCTGGTTATTTCATAAAATGTGCAGATTATAATTTTAAAGTGGAAATCTAGTTGATGAGAAATAATAAGCCTTCGATTAATTTTCTTTTAAGATTTACTTATCTGAAAGGCAGAGAGAGAGAAGGGGAGAAGAGGAAGGGGAAGGGGGAGGGGAAAGGGAAGGAATCTTCTATCTGCAGATTCACACCCCAGATGGGCACAATTGCTGGAGCTACACCTGTCTGAAGCTAGGAGCCAGGAACAACTTCCGGGTCTCCCATGTGGGTGCAGGGGCCCAAGGACTTGAACCATCTTCCAGTGCTTCCCCAGACCATTGCAGAGAGCTGGATCAGAAGAAGAGGAGCAACCAGGACTTGAACTGGCACCCATATGGGATGCCACCACTGCAGGCAGTGGCTTTACCTGGTATGCCACAGTACCAGCCCCTCTGTTAATTTTCATTTATTGAGCATATCATTTTTGTGGCAAAAATCTGAGTGAGGGTGGCCCAGGAAAGTTGCTCACCTGGGAGATGAGGGAGGAATGGGGTTCACAGTGCATCAGAGATGCACCCATACACCAGGCTCTTACAGAACCTAATAAATGCTCCTCCATTGTAGCAGCCAGGTTAGCTTCTGAGTGCACAGGAGGTGCTGGGGAGAAGGATAGGTGCCTTAGTGAGAGATTCACAAAGGAGGGAATACTTTGAATTTTGAAGGATTCATTCACTGATTTCTAAAATACTGCTGAAGGCATTCCATATGCTGGACACTATGACAGGTGCAGGGGGTACAGTGATGAGAAAGGAAGGCCCAGGACCACCCTCAGAATAGACTAAGGGTGCTGAGAGGGCTGGGAGCTGGCAAGGCCCGGGGTTAGCCTGAGGAGATAGCCACCAGCGGGGAGCTTCATTGCCGGACGTGTTAGGAGCAGGAGAAGTCACCACTACAAAGAGCCCAGTGGTGACCAGTTCTATCCAAGGGGCGCTGATCCAGAGGCCAGCAGAGAAGACCGATAGCTCTCCCTCTGCTGCCAGGAGAACTCCCCAGATTGTCCCTGTACCAAGATCCACTTGGGAAGGAAGAAAGGAAAGGAAAAACAATCTATTAGTGAGTATACTTTAAGCGTAGCGAGTGTTGGCAAAATTAAATTGTTGTAAACTGGAAAATCTGAGCTAAAACTGTTGGCTAAATATGAGCTACAGAAAAGTTTTACTGCCGCGCAGCCTCATGGGGGTTCTTAACATTTTTGTATGTTGTGTAGTGTGTGATTCCATTTGAAATATCCAAAGTAGACAAATGCACAGAAGGCAGAAAGTAGATTGGTGGTTGCCAGTGGTCAGGTAGGAGGAGAGGGGAGCAACTGCTGGTGGGTAATGATGATGTTTGCACAGCTTTGTGAGCATCTTAAAACCACCCAATTGCCTCTCTCTCTCTCTCTAACTATGCCTGTAAAAAAATTGTATCTATAAATCACATTTGAATCTGTTAAAAAAATTTTAAAAAACATACCCAATTGTACCCAGAGTCTGTGGGTTATATCTCAAGCAAAATGCAAAAAGGATTGGGTTCATTAAAGAAAAGAAGGAAGCTATGATTTTATTCACCTGTTTGAATAGCAACACTGGTTTTTCAGGTATACTAACCTTGTGCCATGTTGGATGTCAGTGTATAAGTTTACATTGTTTCTACTAAATAGTAAAGTTCATAAACAACTAGTAATCAGAACATGACTAACTCTTCTAGCAAAAAAGCACTTGGATAATTGAAAAAAAAAATCAATACACGAAGCGTGTAATCTGTGAGATGGCATGTAATGTAAATCCAAATCCTTGTAGTTAAGTCAGTATTTTTTATATTTTTCATGCTTTGAAAATGTGAAATTATGGGCTGGTGCTGTGATGAAGCAGGTTAAAGCCCTGGCCTGAAGCTCCGGCATCCCATATGGGCGCTGTTTCTTGTCCCGGCTGTTCCTCTTCTGATCCAGCTCTCTGCTGTGGCCTGGGGTAGCAGTGGAAGATGGCCCAAATGCTTGGGCCCCTGCACCTGTATGGGAGACCTGGAAGAAGCCCCTGGCTCCTGGCTTTGGATTGGCACAGCTCCAGCTGTTGTGGTCATCTGGGGAGTGAACCAGTGGATGGAAGACCTCTCTCACTCTCACTCTCTCTGTAACTCTATTTCAAATAAATAAAAAAAATATGAAATTATAACATTTTTTAAAAGTGCTTGTTTTTTTAAGAAAGCTTTTATTTAATAAATATAAATTTCATAGATAAAGTTTTTGGTATATAGTGGTTCTTTCCCCCATACCTGCC